GGAGGGGGGTTGTCACTTCGAGGGGTAAAAGGTATGACTATTGCACTGTGTTGTACAGCTGAAACTAATTCTAAAGAATGTGTATTTCATAATAAAAAATAATTAAAAGAAAAAAATAATACCCATTTTGCTAAACTGTTACAGAGATGAAATAGGGCCTAGCGCTGTGTTTGTGTTATTAGGCTATTTATAAATGATAAATATTGAGTATAATGCCAGCAAAACACAGATCCTGTTCCAGTCTGAAACCCCTCCGAGCAATTAATTGCATTTCATATGCTCTGTAGAACCAAATTTACTCTGCCACACCTGGGGGAGGCTAGGAAAACATAACTGTTTACGTAAAAGTATTACAGTGCTGATGGAAACATTTATCTTATGTAAATATAACCTTAACCTTAACTATTTTCATTATAATCAAATTTTAAACTTTCTCTAGTGTCATCTTCCACTGGTCTATTTATCCAGAGCTCATGTTGGAAAAGATCATGTGATTTTCTTTGAAAATGTATTTAGCCATTGTTTTGGCTGTATGAAACCAGAAATATATTCACACACTCATTCTGCAGTTTAACACGTTGATTAATTTTTCAGACATGTACTAAATAAGATAGCCATATAAAGTTGTTGATTGAAATATTTAATTGCCTTATGAGATTAGCTTAAATAAATAGAAGTCGATGAGCCAAGCTTAATAAACTTAAAATATGTTGTATTTACTCTTCGTCATTTTTCTGGACAGTATTTCCGCTTCCAATAAAAAAGGAAACTCTCAGTTAATTAGTTCCTCATACACCACAGTAAAATTAATGTTTAGGAGTTAAATACCATAAACTTCCTCAGGCATATTTGCTGATGTGTTCCTGTTTTTAGTTAATGTCACATGTTTTATTGTTTAATGGGGGTATCATGTGGGTTCCATTATATCTCTCTTGTGCAAAGGATGCATGTGTCTGGCATTTTAGGAGACTGCATGCTAATTTCTGATTTAACTGTGTCAGCCGTGTCAGCTGACATACAGGTCATTGACAGTCAATGCTGAAACAATCACCAAATCACAAGCTAAAAACCGTTGACATGGTATACTTTTATCAAACTGACAAAATAGGAAACATGTGTTGTCAGGATCATGTACTATAGGTTCTTGGTAAATAAGCAGAGAGAAGAGGGTGTAATCACATCTCAGCCTTCTGTGTTTGTGTGTGTTAGACTTATTGTGACCAGCTCTTCCCTTTATCCCCTGCACTGTACCCCAACATCATATAAACCAAACTCTTTAGGCGAACCTAACTTAGTTGTAAATTTTTTTTTTTTTAAAGAATTGCTTTGGTATCTGAACTGCCAGTTATTTAAATTCCCATCTGAAGGAAGTCAGATTGTTGGTTTAAGAATGTGAAATGATTAAAAAGTAGAAAGAACTGAGTGCAAAAATGTATATGACATTCCAGAATTAAATGGTGACAACCACCCTCCAGTTCTCACGGGAGAAATGTTTCCAGAGATTTATATTTCATTTATTTTGTCAAGACACACATAGTCTAAACAGGAAAATTTATCATAAATACTTTCTATGAATGGGTTGATGAAGAACACTTGAATTTTTGATACCAACAAATAGTATATCTTTCATATTTACTTGAAACTCAAATCAAGCAAGATGGGTCAGTCTCTTTCATTGAAAACTGTGTAATGTTACTCAAATTAAAACAATTGACAGCCAGAGAAGTCACATATGGTTGACAATTATGGGGGGAATAACAAAGGAAGGCCCACTGAAGAGAGATGTTAAGATTTGTTTCTTTCCTTACCTCTATCCTTTCCCTCCATGTGACTAGCAAGTACATAGTTTGAATGATTTTTCCCTTCCACCCAGTTCCTCATTGAAACTCACCCAAAGTGCCAGGGTGTCAACAAGGGTGGCACTTTCTTTTGCTACTGGCTTCTTAGTTTTAGACTTTGGCGTGATGCTAGTTTCAAGCTTACTAGCAGCTGTAAAGACTTTATGCTGTTTTATTTCCAGGGTTACAAAAGGAGTGACATCATTTTATAACTTTAAACACTGAAGGTATGAATATCAAAGGGTTAATATACTAACAATTTTAGAAAAGGGAAAATTTCTGCATGCCACATTACACTCACACTGAACAAATGCAGTGTGCCAACTCTGCCAAATGGGAGAACGGCTGAGGTGTTCTTGACCTTTTCCAGGCCTACAGTTATGCTATTGTTCATATTCAATGTGGTTTTCTCCTCAGCACAATATTTGCTAATGGGACCTATTTCTATAGTTGCTTAAAAAATTTCTTTTTGGAAAACAGAACGAATCTATATGTATATATTGCAGGTGCCGTCTGAGGCAACTGATGATTTTTAAAAGTGTCTTTTTTTTCCATTTTAGTAACCAAGGCTACCAAAAAACACATTGGCAACATGTGTTTAACGTGAAGAGTAATTCCTTAGGAAAATGGAAACAACACAAAATGAAAAAAAAATCTTTTATGATTAAAATCTCAGGATTCAGAGAAGCAACTGAATTTAAAATTCTAATTTTAGAATTTAATATTCTTAGAATTCAAATTTTAGGATGTAAATATAGTCCTTAATTATATGAAAAAGTTTCTGAACAAATAGATCTTAAAGGTAGAATGACTGGCAAATAATATTAAGTGAATAAAATAAGGATCCCGAGCGAGAGCACCATCTTAAAACATAGGAAACCAAAGTCAAGAAAAAGATGTGTAAAAGCCATATAAAAACCGCCAAGTGTAAATTACCATATAAATGTGCATTTTTATAGTCCTGAGTTCAGTTCACTTTTATCCAGACTTCATAGTTGCAATATATTCATCTCATGTTACTTTGTATGTTTAAAGAATTACATCTGAATATCTTCAATATTATATAGAAAAAGGTTTAAAGGCTAGGTATAAACATGAATTATGAAAATTCAAAACATCATTTGACAGGCAATTTAGATCTGATGTCTATTAACATTGGATAGTTTCACAAATGCAATAAATACTGAAGCAGAGTAAGATGCTAGTGGGACAATTAATTTACATATCAATGAACCAGAATATACTGGTAATTACAAAATGATATTCTATATAAGTATCTAAAATGATATTATTTCACTAATTGTTTTCAATGGTGTTCTACTTTTATCAATGAAAGTATTTCAATAAACTTGTTTTTTCTATATTCTTTCTAGTCACAGTAATGATATTTTAGAAAGTATTTAACTTAGCAGTTTCTAGCCTTTTTGGAATTTGTTGCTATTTTTATCTAACAGATTATAGTTGACATTTTGGCTATTTAACTTTTAGAAAATGAAATATTAGATTGCTTCCAAAACTAACAATGTACAATTTTGATTTTTGTAAAAAAGAAAAAAGTCATAAAAATCACAGGCATCTAAAGTTAATAAGCAATATAAATAGTTATCTTTGTGTAACTCATCAGTTAATGCAAAAATGTACTTGTGTTGTTTGTAGTGAGTTCTCATTCATTACACATTGATATGTAAATTTATTCTTTCATTCATTCATTCATTCAATAGTTGAATGTTATACTAAAAGTTTAGATATAATGATAAGACAGAATCAGCACCTGCCTCCATAGAGCCTTCAGGTAAAGTGAAAGAGAAAATATACAGGATGCCAAGGAACCAGGAGAAATGCATCCACCTAGGTCAGGCAAGCTCTCCCTGATCTGAGTTGAAAGAGGTTCAGAAAACCAAAGCGAGTGAACACTGACAATGAATGCCCAGAATCAAAAAAGAGTATGGTTTGGTCTGAGAACTAAAAGAAGACTAGTGAGAAATTAGCTGTAAACATAAGGTGGAGACAGATAATGGAAGGACAAGTCATTCACATTAGGAAACTTGGGTTTATCTTAAAGGAAAATGGGTAGCTATTGAAAAGCATATTCCAATCTCATATATGTCTAAATAAATTGAACTTGAAAATCATATTCATATTTTAAGAATACACTGGAAATAGAAGTTATGAAACTAAATTCTAAAGAGCAAATATTGTCTTCAGAAGCACAGAAATAATCTAAGCTCTTTTAAATACCAACATAAATCCTTTTCAACACCTTCTGTGTGTTTTCTCTTTAAAATAAAAATGCTATATGGGTGATCTCATTTCTTGGTGTGGCAGAACCATTACATTGCCTAATTTAAAGCCAAACCCTCCACCCACTCCCAAATGAAAAATCAATGGTACTTACTACATCCAGCTTTATAGCTGAAGCCTGGAGGAAGGAGGAATCCTTGCTGGGCCGCTGCAGCCAGTGTCCGTTGATCAGGAGGGAATACGGGGATCATTAATGGCGGCAGTTGACCTTGAACCTGCTGAACGTGATAAAGCCGATCAAAGAGAAGAAGTAATGGTGCGCCATGATTCCCACCCTCCTCCATTTATGATAAAAGAAAATCATTTACTCAATTCAATATACTGGCATACAGGCTTGTTAGAACACTGGGCTTGAGGCTATGCCTTGGGATGACCTTAGGAGAATCAAAATACACTGTAGTGGAAAGGTGTTATCGAGTTCACCGTCTAACCTGATGAATAATTTCCCTGCATGATATCCTGGAGGGTGCTGAAGCATCACTACTTCACACAACAAGCCCTTTTCTCATTGCATTAATATGATGGTTTAAAAATTATCCCTTAGAGGTTGAGCTAAAATCTCCTTCTGAAAGTTCCACCTGTTAGGAATAATTGTACATTCTAAAGCAAAACAAACTAAACTGGTATCATTTTATACATGGACGGATCTTCATTACTTGAAGATAATGCTCATGTTGACACATAATATTGAAATTTTAAAATTCTCGAATAAAAAAGCTGAAGAAAGCTTAGAGAGTAACTAAGATTTTCCCCTTCCTTTGTAGAAGAGGTAACTGGGACCCAAAGACAACCAACTTGCCGATGGCCATTGAATGGGATAGTCAACACTAGGTCTAGAATCCAACCCCTCAAATTCTGTTCTGTATGATACTTTTGTCTTCATCCATTGTTTTTCAAGCCTTCAAGCACTCCTCAAACCACATGGCTCTGCTTTGGTGGTCACCTTTGGACTACACCTTAATTAGCTGGTGTCACTCTCACAATATGGGGTTCACATCTATAAATGAATAATATAGCACAATGGAATCACCACCTTCTTCGAACTGAACAGGAATTTCTACAAGTATAACCTAATGCAGTCATTTCTGCGCTCTGTCACATTATTGGCTAATGCAGAGGTGGTCATTAACTAAAACACCTAGGATAATTTTTAACACATTTAAGCAAGATCTCCCTGGTGAACAAGATTATTGGTTAATGTTTGTCACTGAATATGTGAATGAGAATTTAGGATCATGCTTAAAAATTACACATCTGACACTTTATTTTCCCTACTGCTCCTTCCACAGATTAATTCAGTTATTTGGAATATATTTAATAAAGACTATGTACAAGAAAATGAGCTATGCAGGGGAGATGTACTGGTGAACAAGAAAACCAAGATCTTATACCTATGGAGCTTACATTACAGTGGGGAGAACAGTAAAAAGTAAAACAAACAAATATACAAAAAAATTATGAATTCATTTGGTGGCTAATCCTGACAGCAACCCTGAGCTGTGCCTTCCTTCCAGTGATGAGTGGCATTGCACACTCTTAGGGCACTTACGATTCTTACAGTTCCCACCATTTCTCACTTGAAAAGCTTACCTTCAGTTTCCCCTTTATTTTTTGCAGTAAACCACTAAGCTGGTGAGTGCCCTTTTCTTGGGTGAGGGGGGAGCAGTTTGAGAGGGAGAGTGAGAGGAAGGGAGGAAAGAACAAGGAATGGAGGGAAGAAGGGGGAGAGAAAGAGAGAGAGAGAGAGAGAGAGAGAGAGAGAGAGAGAGAGAGAGAGAGAGAGAGAGAGAAGCACTGTAAGAATAAGGGATCAGCAATGACTCTAAATTGGAAGGCATTGCTTTTAGCCAATAGGATTTTAAACCTATCACTGCCACTAGAGTGAAACTAAAAGAGAATGACAACAACCAAGAAAACAAAAAGTGCCTTAAGGTTAAAGTCGAAGATTATACCATTGCAGCCAGCATTTTTTTTGAACATTCTGGAGGAAAGATAAACCTTATGTAGAAACCAATGTAAAACACTTGATGAAAAGCTCAAAAATTAAAGACTGCCTATTGAGCAAGTCTGTAGGAATAAGTGGCCTAACACAAGAGGTAGAATTCTGAAGGCAAAAGAGCAGGGGGCTAGTTCAGTATAAGCAGAGGATGCTAACCAGAATAACACGGAAATAAATATACACACCAGCCACACTGACTAAGGGTTATCTTCAGCTACTGTATATCCTATATATTTCATTGTTTGTAAGTCATATTTTACCTAGTACATCTCCTGCTTTCTAAGACACCATTGGTTATAAGAGGTACCATAAATTTAATAGGCACATTTTAGAGGGAAGAAGGAAGGAACTTCAAATGAAACACATACAAGCCTTATAAGAGGCATCCAAATTTCAGATTCCTTAAAATTTGAGAAAACTACCTTTTAGAATTGCAAAACCCATAGGTTCTTATTTGAATGCAGTCGTTCTCAGACATGAATGTCGATTAGAAACACCAGGCAAGCTTTAAAAATCTCTCAATGCTCAGACTGCTTCCCAGACCAATTAAATTTCAATCAACAGGGGTGAGACCCAGCCATCAGCATTTTTTAAAGTTCCCCTGTTGAGTCCAATGCGAGTACAGGTTTGAGAAGTTCTGTCTTAAAGAATGCTTTCAGTGACTGTCAAAGAATCTTTTTGTCTTCATTTTTGCCTGGAGTTATAAAGCACCTTCAGATATGCAAGTAATTGAAAGGGAGACTCTGCCTGATTTTTAACAGGTTCTGGTGTCCACAGGATACAACCAGGTATTAAGCCATGCTCCTCATAGAATTCCAGCTAAATGAGTCTTGCATCTGTATTTTCATGCCCTTCTTGTCAAAAACTTTTGATGGTTTGCTTTTACCTAAGAAATGATGACCAAATCCCCTCAGCATGGTATTCAGGATCCTTCACACTTTGTCCGGACTATCTTTCCAGGCATTTCTGCTCCCCTTCCTCAGATACCCTGTGCTCTTACCTCAACAGCTCATGAAGAGCTCCTTGCATACTTGGTGTTTTTCCATGCTTGAATGCATCCAGAAGTATTTTCTCCTCTGTTTTGAGTGATTTCTCTTTTCCTTTTCTTCTTGGCAAAAGTCTACTTATTTTTCAAAGGCTTTTGAGACTCACATAATGTCTTTGCCTGTGAAGCACTTCTTTCTTATGGTGCCAATTTTCAGGCAGAAAGAACTGTTACTTCTTTTAACCTCATAAAGCTAATATAAAATACTCACTGTATTGAATAAGAGTTACTTGTGTAACATAAGTCTCCCTTATGAGCTTAATAATAAAGAAAGAGGTTGCAACTTATTTATTATTGTACCTTTAGAGCTCAGAACAGCATGTAGGGTGCTGACCAGAATAACATGCAAAGGTACCCACAACAAACCAGCCACACTGGTTAAGGGTTATCACCAGCTACTGTACAACCTTTATATTTCATTGTTTGTAAGTTATATTTTATATAGTACAGCTTCCTATGTATTGATAAGTCATAAATAAATAAGAAGAATGAATTATATAGTCCCATCTTTCTAATTACATCTTCGTGCACTAACTCCAAATGTCCACAAAAAGCACATGGACAACAAAGTTACGTAATGGCCAGAAAGGAATTCAACTTCACCAAGAAGAATGGCAGCATAAACTACCAATTGCTTTGTGTGCCTATTCTTAAGCTATAGCCAAATGGTCTTATACACTGTGATATATCTATGAGTCTTAGAATTATGCATGCATGAAGAAATAAAAAACAGAATCCCAGAATATTAGAAATGTATCGTATATTTCTGTAATGGACAGATATGCATGCCTATTATGTTCTAGTCACATGGTGTTTTAATTATTATAGCTTTGCAATATGTTTTAATAACACTTAGTGATCTACCATTACTCTTTTCTGTTTTCAAATATGTCCTGTTTTCTCTAACATTTATTTTCCCACATTAATTTTAGAATATGAAATTTCTATTTGAGTTCATTAACCTGATGGCTTGATAGCTACTAGCAGGTTATAACTTTCGATTTATTTAAATCTTCTTTGCCTCATAAAATTTTTGTAGTTTCCTAGGTAACTTTATTTTTAAGACTTTTAAAAAATATATTTTTATCACTATTGGAAAGGGCATGTTTTCTTGTTATATCATTTACAAGTTGTTGTGTGTACATAACCCAACATCTATCTACTTGTGTGTGACAGTTTTTATCCAGGCATTTCATTTATACGCTAATAATTTATAATATTTTTTCAGCTAAAAAATTTTAGTATTTTAAAGAATAAACTGCAATGAATTCTGGGGCTTTTTAAAATCTCTGCACTCTAAACTTTTGTCTTACTCTGATGATTGAAATGAATTTTGCTTTAGTATTGTCATTTGTTTTGGTGTCTATATTTGCCAAGATCCACATATATAGAATAACAGAGGTTTAAGACTGAGAAAGATCCTGGAGATTATCTGAGACGACACAATCATTGTGCTGAGGAGGAAATAAGAATTAGCTCAGTGATAAAAATTGTTCAAGGTCCCCCATTTAGGTAAGAGCAGAGTTAACACTGGAGCTCCGTCTTCTAACGCTTAATCTAGTGCGCTTTCCCCACACACTGGAAAACATCAGGGGGAGAGGAGGAACTACAAGGGAAAGAAAGGAACTAAAGCAGAAAGAAAACAAACCCAATTTCATAGTCCCAATGCTGGGTTTCCTTTAGAATATCATAGAACAGATTATAAAGCACTATAACAGAATTCAAGATAAAGTAAAAGTAAAATAAATATAATCTGTGGTTAATCCATATATGCAACTAAAAATACATTTCAAGATACAGTTGATTCTCATCATTGGCCTGTTTTGTATTTGCAAATTTGCCGTCTCACTAAAATTTACTTGTACCAGTGCTTTATCAGTCATTGACAGACTTGTACAAAATAGCGAGTAAATCTGTTGATGATTTCACTGTTTAAAATGCATTTAAAATTAATAATAAATATTAAAAGGTGTCTTTAAACAGAAGCACATACAAAATAAGGTTATGTATTGATCAATGATGAAAATGGTGTGACCTAAGCTCTCAGGAACCTAACTGTATTTCCCTCAGGAATAACTGTTTAGTATTCGCTAATTCGGTGTTCATTACAACTTTATAGAATATAACTAGAGCAAATAATGAGCACCAACTGTATTATTGCTATCTATCTTAAC